AGTTGGGCGTGTAGCTGCGGCGCGTCGTCATCACGTGATGGCGCGCTTTGAGCGCAAGCGCGTCGCGGGGAGATGATGACATCCCAAGTTGCCGAAGCTATCGACTAACAACATGCCACTCGGAAGTATACCGCTTATCCCAGCTCTGTCGCACTTGTGCTCGGGTAAGTTGAATGCGACATTCGGTGTGATAGTATATTTGGCAAAATGTTGCTGGTGACTTTGGAAGGTGCCCCGGGGCTGTTCCAAGACAACATAACGGGCGGGATGGAGCCTTACTAATCAGCCGAGGTTGCTGCACAGAACCCTGACAGACGGCAGGCCTGAAAACTTCAAACTCTAATCTGCAAGCTCCCACACTCCCCATGGAATCTCGGCATCGAAACCCAGCCGCGCTACCAAAGGAACAACACAGTGACGTGTCGGTCGGGACGCGAAGTGACGGGAGAGCTTTCGTGACGAGAATACGCGGAGAAGGGAGGCCTGCAAGAGCGCAGCACATTAGATCAACGAACAACACGCGTTGTATCTGCTCTGCCTTGAGACAAATCGGGAAGTTCGTTCTACATGATTACAGTTCATCAATCATTCCACGGGGCAAACTGATAACTAAATCCTCGGCTTTCTTACACACTCGCCGCTATGAAGCCACACCGCGTATCTTCTCAAGATGACCACCATATCCTCTCGCTGACCGCTATCATCCGCATCTGGGTCGGTACACTCCCTCCTTTGCGCTCGGCGACAAAGCTTCTTCGCCTCCTCTGTCTTTCTCTTGTTGGACGCGCGGTCGCATGACGTATCTCAGCGGCGTGAGTATGCGTTCCCCTCTCGGCGTGGACCACGTCGATAACCTTCACCAAGATCACTGTCGCAGTGAGCGCGCCCGTGAGCCATACTATGGCAATGACTACATTCGTGCATAAATCGACAGCGATTGCCGTTAGCGCAGCGGGGAATGGTCGGATGGTTCCAGAAATAACAGGTTTGGATGTGTTCCTTGCCCTTTTGGTGGCTGAATGGTTCTTTGCTGTAGACTTTTGGCCTCGTCTCTGCAGCAATGGTAGTGGAGGTGGTGGTGGGTTCATCTTCATCGAGGGCGAAACGAACTCCCCTGCGTCCACGTTCGACGGAGCGAGGTCTACGAAGGGCTGGCGGTGGGGAGCGTGGGGATCTTGAGCGACGTAATTCCGGTGGCGCGTGACGGTTTCCTTTTTCTGGAAATCTGGCAGAGGCTTCATAGCGGAGCAGCGAAGGGCGGCGGGGTGCCCATGGCATTGAGCTCGCGTTGTTTTGAACGGCGCCTCGAGAGCCCGAAGGGGTGGGCTGCTGCGCGTGTGGGATCTCCTCAGGTTCGGGCTGGTCATTCGGCACGTCAGCCTGCTCGAGGTTCTGCGGTGACCTTCCTGCCTCTTCTGTCTCGGCTCGACTATTGTACTTGTTCGCCAGACCTTGGGTGATCGGAGGGGTATTCGGTGTCTCAGTCGGCTTGGTGGTGTGCAGTGAAGTCTCTGCCCAGGTTCGTGGATTATTGTATCGGTCTACCATGTCTTGAGTGACCGGAAGCGGACCTGGTACCTCCGTCGGTCGCAGCCAGGTCGCAACGCCCAAGCCATTGTAAAAGTACGTATTGCCGTTCTCATCTGATGCTCGGTACCAGCCCCTGGGCAGGACGTAGGGTGCCCGCGATCGAGCTTCGGGCCATGAGGGGTGAAGGAATCCGGCAGCTCGAAGACTTTGGGCAGTGGGGATGCACGTATCGCCCTTGTTCAGAGATGTTGTGTAGGTGGTGGGGATGATTGGCCGAAATGAAGATTGTAGAGACGCACGAGTGCTGAGATCTCTTGAATATAACGGGGAGCTTATTTTAGCTTCTGAAGACGAGGAGCCGATGTGTGCGTGGGAAGATACGGGCGGTGATGAGGGACAGTCTCCGATCTTGACTTGGCCAAAGGTCAGCATTGGGGAAGAGAAAGTGGGTTAATATTGACGCACTTTCTAGTTGCTCAGATTTCACCATGATATGTCTCTCAAGCCTCTCATGTTCTGCGCACTTGACCGCTCGTTTGCCGGATTGGGGCGATATATCGTTGACTGGACGTGATTGTTGCGGACGCGGTCGCTCCATGTCAATGACCTTGGAAAGGAACTAGTCGTGTCGTTGACTAGTGTCTTTTACGATGACAGTGAACGGTTGGAAGCGCGAGAGGAAGCGAGTGTCGGGTGGCTCGCACGTACTTTTCACTTTGATATAAGTGCGCGTTCGAACTGTTTGTGTACCTGCATCATGCCCTAACATCCTTGGCGCTAGCGCCGCAACGACCCGCATCCGACGAAGCTCCACCCGCGACATTATAGCAAAGAGGCGGCCGTCTACCAATGAATACAGACGCAGATATTCCACCGATTGGCGTCATACGTGGCTTCTTCTCGTTGCGTTTAAAGCAAGTGTGAGGTCAAATGTGGTAACAGGCTAAAGTACGGTGATACATGGCAATATGCTGAGTCGACACACGAATTAGTGTTTTCTATACCATAAGGAAGTGATACAGAGAATATCAATGTCGCAGGAAAACTCATTTTGAGGCGCATGTATCGAAACCCGTCATTGACGCGACCAGTACCGTGAACGTGTTCCGGTCCTGGGGACACCAAGAAGGCCGTGGAGACTGGCTCGAAACATGGAATCCGCGACAGTCGACCGATAGGAAATGACAGAGAGAATCAACATAACGCTGGACGGATGCAGAAACTAGACAGGGCAACGGACGTGGGTGGAATTTCCCTGTCACACATGGGCATCGCGCGGGCCACGTATGCGCAATAGGTTGATGGATTTCTGCCCCGGAGACTAAAGCAAAGGCATCGTGCGTGCTACGAGAATTAATGGGAGTGACCACTGGAACGAGGATGCATATGTGAGGTGAAGGAGATGTGGCGGCTTCGAGTTTCGCGGGGTCGGCAAAATCTCCCACCTGCTGATCAGCCAATGAGAGCGGGCCGTGCCCGATGACGCGCGAGCCACCCCACCGCGCGTCAACCTCATCGCGACACAGCATCTTCAATCACAAGCGATACGCGTCGCTGCCAGCCTAGACTCGCCATATTCAACCAGAATAAAGTTACGATCGCGGCCTGAAGTCATCGCGACCTGAAGCCATCGCTGGCAGCCACAATCTGCCGAAGTCTATCCTGGCCATTCGCAACGCTGTTGTGCGACTCAACCAGCGGCGATGACCAATCGCACGACAACGGAAGGACGCCAACTTTTGACATGCGCCGCGACGGCAGCAGACTTTTCCAATGGATCCGAGAGAAAACATGACCAGCACCTGCACCAATGCCATATCCTCGGAAAAGATGGCGGTGAGGACAACCGGAAGGCATTGGAAACCGATGATGGAAGTAAGAGCCAACTTCCGGGACCTTAGCATAGACATGGTCGCGCGCATGACGGACGTAGAATGTCCAAGATGGACACTTGATCGGGTCGAGGGTGAGCAATATGGGGGACATGGCCGATATCACAAGCTTTCACTATTCTTCAGTCGATACTGATGACTCCCTCGATCATACGCCGCAGGGCAACTTCTTGCATTCCATTTCACATGCGAACCGCCATGGATCGCAGACCAGGCGATGATCTGGTCATGGCTACGGTCATGAGTGCAAACCACTCGGCTTCGACAGAAGCGTCACTAGGGGTAATCGCATTCTGCATCGCATGCTACGACGAAGCATTGGGACGAAAGTATACATGAGCACCACCTGCTTAATTTGAGGGCGCTACCACGTGCTTTCCATGTGCTCCCCAACGATGTCGAGGATCCCTGTCCAATCTGTCGACCTCGGCCGCACCTCATCCTAGACCCAACTTACCCCCACCTTGTGACTTGACGCACACTCACGCATGGACACACACGCTCTCGCAGGCGCCGCGATCGAATTCCACTATACTGCGCCACGAGAACCACGGGTGCGAAAAGCACGGTGCCGACAGAAGTACGGCCATGCGTTAGCGGGTGTGCAGACGTCTCCAGGCACCAATGCCGATCACTCGACATATCCAACAACAGACCACGGCCGAGGAAGTGCCTATCGCGTGGAGCGCATCGCCGGTCGCCCCATCTTGTTCACGATGGGTCATTCCTGGATGCGGTAGCCAACACCTACGTCCTTGTGTCCATTGAAGCAGTCGCAGATATGTGCGCCTCGTTGCGCTTAGGATGCGTGAGAGCCACGCCGATGGACTGCCGAGAGCTGTTTGAGTAGCGAGCTTATTCCGGTGCGTATTTCCAGTTCATGAAGACACCCCCAGGCACCGACGCTAACTTTAGCTCTCAGCAGATATACTATACAGCGGACGGAGCGATGCGAATATATCAGAAGCAACGACATTGCGCCGACCCAGCCATCCGCCCTCAATGTCGATCGATGTCACCAGGGAAACACACGTGCACAGCGTTGATGGTGCTCAAAGGATACTTTCCGTTTGGCGAAGCCAGCAGCGTCTTACGCTACGGTAATCTTCTGCACAGCATGGGTAGGCATGGTGATGAGGGCAGCCGGGTTATCGTAGCTGCGCTGAGATGTGTCTCAGGCGAGTGTAAGCAAAAATGCCGTTCAGCACGTTCCTTGTATCGGGTGCAGGTGAGCATAGTAAGGGCCCGAGACCGGGGAGGTTGAAGGGGTCACTAGGACGAGATCGAAACGTATCAATTAGTCATATAGCTGTTGCTACGCGTAGTCTGACCCAGAGCAGATCTGACTGCCTGTCCTCGTGGTGAGTTGGGTGGAGATGCGACGCCGAGGAGAAACACCAAAGGCAGAGTCTTGCTAGGTACATGAGGTTACATTATTACACCAAATATAGAATCACGTTCATTCCGAAACGGTAAGCACGCTGCAGATGCGAACTGCGTGAGGTTACATCCCCCAATTTTTGTTGGTCCTGTTCCTAGCCTCTGCAACCACAGCGTCGCGCCATCACCAGTTGACCCTCATGCCCCTTCCAGGATCACACGCGTGATCTCGATAAACTCTGCTTCTCTCCGTGCAGTGTCCTCTCGATCGGCCTTCCACGCGCTCGATGTCCGTTCCAGCTCGGCCGTCGCATCCGCCACAGTCTTTCGAGCGGCTTGATCATCCACCTGGCTGTCATCATCTGGGATACCGAACGCCACACGCGCGACCCTTTTGCGAGCGTTGAGATTCGTCATATCGGCAATCTCCTCGAGGTATACTCCGGCAGCGACATTTGCTTCTCGAGACTGTCTCGCCTTCGCGCGACTGTCCTCGAGCTCTTGCTTCCACCGTCTCACGGTTTCGACCCGATCCTCGGGCTGTACGCTTCCGGCATTGCTTGTAGCCATCGTGTTCAGGCGCGTTCCGTCGAGCTGTTGCGCTTCGATGCGCTGCTTGTCGAGATGCTGGCGCTCTATCTCTTCTACCGGGGGAATGCCGTCGTCTAAGCACGTGTCGTCGTCGCCCCAGCTTGGGGGATCAGACTGGGTGATGGGTGGGTGATCAGGGCTCTTCTGCGTCGGGGGGTCGTGTTCTACGAGCGTTACGTCTTCGTCTTCGTCCAGCTCTGCACTGCTTTCTTGCTCCTCCCAGTCGCCAGTCGCAGGCCCGTACACTTCTCTCTGATCACCGTGAACAGCCGTCTTCCTGTGCGTGACTGTTACGCTTTTCTCGGTTGCTTGTGCTTCTTCTAGTACGTGCTTGATGTGTTTTGGTTTGACGTCGCGAGCGTTGCCCTTAGCAGTTGCGATGAGGCCAACAGCTGTGTTCCAGTTGAGCTTGGTCTTGTCGTGCAGCGCTCGCAGTTGAACTAGAAAGGTTGGTTTGTCGATCCAGACCGATGCGAAGGCGATGTCAAGTTCAAGCCAGCCGAATTCTACCCACCGACCCTTCTCCAGGCTATTGAAGGCTCCTCGTGCGTTCGTGTGGTCATCCAGCGCTCGTAGCCTCCACCCCTCGATGATGCTGTGTGCGGTCGCGTCGAGCAGTCCGAGCAAGGCGCGACGGTCTTCGGGGTACTTGTGCAGTAGCTTGGAGTATGTGATCAGTGTGGCTTCCGAGTCTGCGTGCAAGGTAGAGATCTGGCGTTGTAGTGCTCGGGCATCTTTCGCTAACGAGGTACCCATGCTATACGCGAGAAAGTGGACCGTGAATGCCCATTGTTGGCGGCTTGGATGATGTGGGGTGAAAAGTGAGAGAAGAGCCGCGTGCTTGGATGAGTGGGAAGGAACTCACGGCCACGACGAAAGCCATGGAGGGCAGTGACGACAACCCGGGCTAGGCTGCTTTGGGTCAGCGTCAGCTGGTCGACCTCCGACATCTGGGCAGTGAGTGCATCTTCTTAGGTGCCTGCCGAATTGAACGACATAATGAGAAGATCTCGACAAACGATTTGATACGCTTAATACACTCGGCTCCGGTGAGATGTAAGAACCTCTTCGAATAGATGCTGCTATCATCTGAAGGCAGCAACGCACAGCCCTTGCGCGGATGCGACATCGCCACCACCCGACCTGTCAACCAGTGTTTCGATTCTGATCGTATGAGAGTCGGCACTATGACAAGGTTCAAGGGAAGCAACAAGTAGTATTCGCGCGGGAGCGATCGAAGACGATTCGATGTGAGATTACCACCTTCATCATCATCCAAGTCAGACAGAGGGATCAGTGATACAATGCTAGCAAGGTAAAAGGCAATATTACCTGTGGAAGCAGGAGCATGGAAACCGGATATATGAAGATGTTGACGTCGTCAAAAACGTGATTGCTGCTATCCAGCCTCCATGAGTAGGGAAAGAGTGTTGATCGGGACAGGAGGAGAAAGCCACATGGAGCTGCTGGCGACTCATACCCATCGCATCGCTGAGCCCCTGCATGACGATATTCGAGGCCTGGCTGAATCCATGGTCGGAAGCTTCTACTGCCGCCTAAGATTACTCTAACCCGACTGATGTTTCCATTCCTCCGGCCAGATTTCGTTTCGGCGCATTCGTAAAGTCTTGCATGTCGTGAACGGGGCCGCTTCTGTGGTGGGGGAGGAGGTATCGCAGGGAGTTTACGGACGTCGTCGTTGGAGGCAGGAGGCCTTTCGATGAGGGCGCCGCAAATTCCACCCAGCCATGACCTTCCAGCTCATACGGCCTCTCCTCCGTACAGCAATCTCAAGCGCCGCGCCGCCGATCGGTTCTCGTTGTTGCGCGTTCTCGGTCATAGCGGATTTCCCCCTTGACGGGTTTCTTGTTCGCGGCGACGTGGAAGAGAGGTAGGCAATTGTGCGACGCGGGGAAAGACGTCAAGCATGCGCGTCGTGCTTGCTTCGGGCTGGTCCTCGGAAAAGCGGCTCGGCTGTGGCCATCACATCGGTCGTGGAGGTCGTCTAGGTGGGGATGTCAGCAGCTGCCATTCCACTTTTGGGTGGGGAAGATGTCCTACCAGCGCCATTGCTCTCGAAGACCAGACTTGGAGGCGGCACCTTTACGTGAATGAGTGAAATCGCCTGCGCATGATTCAGCCACCCCGGCTCCTGAGGAGGAGCTCGACAACGGTGCGCTTGGGGCGAGTTCCAGCTCGAATAGTCATGGCGCGACGAGACTGACGGTGAGGAACCGCGATCACGCAATTGATCCTTTGTTGTGAAGCGTGAGATGGGGAAAGATGTGTGGACGGCAGACACGCAACACCAGGAGCGCTGTCGCGAGATGTCATTGCGGGGTCGCGTTGGACCAGATTCGCGCTCGCGTACGTCCTCACGTGCACAATTGAAGCTTGACCGCAAGAGGACTAGCCCCACATCGGAGACATCATCGACTGTCCTTGACATCTTCATCCCCATCATCCCATGCGTCATCCATGTACTCGCAATCATCTAGAATATTACGTTCCCTTTTCGTATATCGCTGGTAGTTGTAGCTACGAAGAATAAATACTCTCCTCTTCTCTCATATTACTACTACCACTGTGTCTATTCCAGCCTGTTCTGACCCCAGTACTTGAGTATGCGGTCTATCCTTTTTCCACGGGGTGGAACCGTGGTTGATAGTACCTTCACGGCTCACTCATCACCTTCACCTGCGACACAACGACAAGCATTACGGAGCATTCTACATCCTCACTCACCTCACACACATCCAATCTGAACGATGGGATCAAACAGCTACTGCATTCTATCCTCCTGAGCTCTCCTTTCTATCAGTGTCGACCATCTTCTTCTCTCTCTCTTCGAGACACATTCTTCCCCAAACACCCCAGACCTGCATACACGAGCGTGCTGCAAGTGCATCGCGAGAACATGGCGACAGCTCCCGACGACAGTGTTTCCTGCCGCAAGCTCCAGGACCATTTTGCGACGCTGGAAGCCAAGTGTCAAGCAGAAGAAACGGCACTGCAGGCCGCGACCCTGCGCGATCGCGCCTTCTTACACGAGTTTGACGAACGCGCGCTGCGTATCAGACAAGAACTGCGGGCCGTTCAGCGCGACGCAGAGGAATTCATCTTCCACATGGACTGCAGACACTCGTTGGGGGAACATAGACAGCGCTTGCCCATCCGACGCAGGGTGGAGTCTATCGTCGTAAGCACTTGGTCCACCCAATCTCTTGTATGCGCTGACCCAGTGGGTAGAAGAAGACGGCAGAGGGAGCCAACAAGTACGCGCGGATGCTTGGCGCCTTTGACACCGCGGATGTAGGACGACGCGCTGGGGAGTTGGATGGAAAGGCGGCGAGGGCGTCGGCGCATAGTGGAAGTGCTAAGGCGGCTAGCAGGGATGGCGTGAACAGGTACATGGATGCGAGTGTGGATGGACGTGCAAGAGAAGATAAGAAGGATCAAGAATGGGAGTTGGTCACATCTTGAGGGCACGACTACCACCCGTACACGGGGAGACAATTCCAGGGTACAAAACCATTCCAGCTAAGACTTCGTCAGGCCATTTTTCGGCCATGGAATTGAGATCAAGATGGAGCAAGCGCGTATAGCAGGAAAACGTTCAACCACCCCCTTCGTGGCAGTAGGTATTGTATGTGGCAGTCCAAAAACGCACCAGTAGTTCACGAAGCTGAGACATGCACCTCATACAAGACAAAACTGAACAGGTCTAGAGCCTACATCAACGCTAGGTCATCTGTTTTGTACGCTTACATGTTAATGTAGGCTGCAGGCCTGTTCAGTTTCTATCTTAGTTAACGTGCATGTATGTCATGTTCATGGTTTGAATAGCTCTGTGGCTTTGAGCTTGTTGGATCTCTTGTATCCATAGCATATGACTATTTTGTGCGTTGTACTGGCGAGATCTTTGCGTTAAATCCACTGCAAATTATTTCCAAGTGATAAGGCTATGAAGCGATACAGCTCAGTATAGCATCGCGTAGGAAGCGCAACTACTAGCCGAGAGTGTCGTAGAAAGAGCACAACTCCATTTTCTTCGCACACATGTGAGCCAGACCCAATGACATGCCGTATCTCGACTGTATCGAAAGATCGCGCCTGGCACTTGACGTCCGCCGCATGCTGGTCTTGGAAATGGAGACATAGGGAGGTAAGAGCATAATAGCGTTGTGGAAACAAGTGCCGCGTACCGCTCTTTGCCCAAATGCTTGTGAACCGTTCGGCGCATCGTTCTCCGGTATTCTTGACGTAATCGGCCACAGATGTCGGAAGCTTGGCAAGTATCGATATCGTGTGCGCTGGACACTCGACTCGGACTCTTATTTCGCTCGTTTCATCCAGATGTCATCCATGGAGACGCATCTTTGACCCTACGCGCGGGGAATCTCGGGACGCAGGTGGAGTCGTGCAGAAGGGTACCTTGACTGGGGGTTTCGGACGGCCTGGTCAGTACGGTCCAGTCACCTCGCTGTGGCCGAAAGAAGACGGCGTCTTGATCATCGGTGTCGCTGCTGTTTGAACCGCGAGAGTGCTTTTGGATGACAGTAGATTCGCTGGTTTGGTGAAAAGGCGGCGCCGTGGCTGCGACGCCGACGCTCCTGGTGTAGTCGGGGTAGAGCTGTGGCAAGGGAATCCTTTGTTTGTATCTGGTAGGTACGCCTTCCCAAAGATCCTGCATGTAGTCTTCCTCCGGTGTAGAAGCGCCCATGGTCATTCTGCCCTCGCGATGCGCCTTCCCATGTTCGGTGCCGCAATGCTTCGCCAAGATCGCCTCCGGTGTATGAGCAGGACGCGACTCGATAGCATCACGGCCGTAGTGGTCTCTTCTATGTTCCATTTGGTCAAGGAGCAAACGCAGGCTCTCGTCAAGATCCAGGACGAAGTCAAAGTCGTATGACCTGGCCCAGTCGGGTGTAGCGGGTCGAGCGATGAGGCAGCGACCCTGTGTTTCAACAACCTGCGCTGCCATGTATACCGCATCCGTATCGAGGCTGCCGAGGGACATTGTGGGGAAGCTATGGGTGGTTGCGAATTAAAGCGTTGGTCGTGTAGAGATGGATGTCGTCTAGGCCGCCGCCCCAGCCACAATCATGGATGAAGGAGTGGGGCCGCCAGTAGGCTCACGTGATTGTGACAAATGCTCACCTTTTGATCAAAACTGCGATTTCTGTTCGAATGAGGCATAATGGCTTCAGTGCGCGCAGATGACTCTTCCCACATTTCGACCGCGCGACAAAAACATCGTGGCACCATTTGCGACATTGACAGCAGTCAACGCTACAGCTGAAGTCGGTGTCTGTAAATATTTCCAGGGTATCTCATGGTAATCCGGTCGGAGGGTGGCATTCGGAAGTGTGCTGCAACCACTGTTTACACCATGGTTTTTTTCCGGTAAAGACTTTGCCAGAACCGGACTAGCGTGGACGATGCCCCTCGTCTCGTCCTCCAGGCCCTACCCTCATCTTCATCTCTCTCTCCTGCTCGGTCTCCGCGGCTTGCGGTGCTCTCCATTCGAATTGCGCTGGCTTTCATCTACGTGTCCGTCTCGCTCACCCCTGTCCGCGCCGTGTTCCTGTCCCTGCCATGCAAATTTCAACGGCCACGCAACCGGCGTCCGCATAACGGCTTCTAGATCCTGCCTTCTACGCCGATACGTCTGCTCCCCTCTACTTTCAGAAGGAGGGACATGTTCAAACGTGCGGCAGAACACTGAGAGGGGGTTGCGAACGTCACCCAACTGGTAAGGCGCCCTACGCATTAACCCTAGCGCTCCGCCTCGTTCCCAAGTTAGTTCCAAGGAGTGCAAACCTGGTGTCGCGCTCAACATGCACATTTGTTCAGAGTGGTTGCACGGTCAACGTCTCTCACTACAGGACCCATTGCACTACCATATCGACGGCAATTCATTCTCCAGCACGAGCTGCATCTTTTCACCCAAAATCTTTCGCGCTCGCGATCCCTGCCAGGGGCTAAGCGAAACCCCAGTATCAAACATGAATATGTGGCTGCTTACAGCCGCCAGCCACGCTATGCAAGCCATTTACGCCCCATCCGCAATCACCGTCTACAGTACATGTCTCAGTCACCCGATATAGACAGGCTTGCGAGATGCGTACGTCTTTCATCCTCAGCCTCGCCGTCCACGAACTTAGAACAGCACTGCCTACGTATCTATCAACAACAGCTTCCTTTTGCCAACATGTATAACAGTATACTGCTCCGTGTGTTCATCGCCCACAAAACAAATCATAGACATTTCAATTTGCTCCCTGTGCTGCTCATATCATGAGATATACACTTGCGCTTCTCAGCGCCTTCCTGCTGCCCCACAACTGCATCGGTTCGCCCACACCCACATCCATACCCTCCCCAGCCGTTGACGCTAGAGATGCCATCAGCTCGCTGCCATCAGCAACCGCTCCGCCTTCTCGTCGCGATGACGACTTCTCACCAAGCATTGCGCCGTTCTCATTAGACCTTCCTACATTATCGATCGCAGAACCTTCCATACCATCTCTCTCGCTTGATCTTCCACCCGAGACCTGCACGCCTGGCTTCAGCTCGTATGCGACTCCTGGGCTTGATGGCTACGTCCCTGCGGAGGCATGCAATGCGTTGTGGGTATACTTTCCCAACTTCGCCGCAGCGGTGGCCTTCTCCGTCCTGTTTGGCATGCTCACAATCGCACATCTGGTTCAAGCAATCGTGTACCGCAATGCATTCTGCTGGGTAATCATCATGGCCGCTCTTTGGGAAACTGGCGCCTATGCATTTCGCGCTCTTGGTTCCAAGGACCAACAATCCTCCGGCATTGCAACGGTCGCTCAAATCTTGGTTTTGGTAGCGCCTATCTGGGTGAACGCCTTCGCCTACATGGTCTTCGCCCGCATCGTTCACTTCTACTCGCCCACTCGCAAGGTCTGGTTATTCTCCCCCTCCATCCTCGCACTCATCTTCGTCACCCTCGACATTGTCTCGTTTGTCATCCAGCTCCTCGGCGGTGGAATGGCAGGTCCAGGCGCGAGTCTGGAAGCACAAAAGAAGGGCTTGAACATATACATGGGTGGTATCGGTATGCAGGAAGGCTTCATTGTTCTGTTTCTGGGGTTGGTCGTCAAGTTTCACCGCGACCAGCTCCAGGCGGAGAGGGTGGGACGCTTGCCCGCGGACAAGATTGGTGGCTGGAAATGGTTGCTGTACGCGCTGTACGCATGCTTGCTGGCTATCACCATTCGCATTATCTATCGTCTCGCCGAGTTCTCCGCTGGTCTTGGCGCAGGCAACCCGCTTCCGAGCAACGAGCCTCTCCTATACGTTTTGGAGTCAGTTCCAATGTGGTTGGCCATCTTCGTGTGGAACATAGTCCATCCTGGTCGCTTTATCCGTGGCCCGGACGCAAAGATGCCGCGTTCGTGGCTGTCACGTCATATCTGCTGCTGCTGTGGCAAACGTCGTTGCGACGACTGCAATGGTAAGCTTGGCCACGCTGGACCTCATCATCAACGCCTAGGAGACGACTCGGATCTGGAAGACAACCAGGAAATGCATCCCGTACTGAAGAGTGCCGGAGGTCATCATGCCGTCAGCCCGACGAATCCTTTCCTGGATGGAACATCTCGCGACTCTTCCTCGAATTCCGACTCCAGGGAAGAGCACCGTCTTCGCCCTTCGTCGGCTGCCGCAAATTTCCGCGATGTCAGCCCAGAGCCAACATCATATACTGCACACCGTCCTCGCGGGGTTCTGGGCTAAGCGAAACTAGTTCAATTCCCTTAGCTCGCTCCATTGGCAGCGGATTGATTCGAGGACAGACAGTATACATTGGACATGAATGAAGAGAAGTCATTGAGTGGACCAATGGTGGCTGTAGAACCGTTCAATCATATAGAGGTATATATTATGGACTTGGGTGAACAAAGAGCAATGTTAGATCTATCTCAAAATGATCTGCCCGTGAGCCATGCCCGCCGTTTCGACTGTGTCTCTTCCGGGGAAAGAATAGACCCAGTGCATCCTGACATTCTGATCCTTGGTCCACTTCTGGGCGATCTCCAGGTTTAATGAGGTGGCAGGTTCATGCATGTTACCCCGTGCTTCACGCAATGATTGAACGTAACCTCCCCATCAACATCAACACCAAACTCGACGTCTTCGTTGATACACTTCAAAGGAGGAGAGGTAGGCGGCTTCACGAGCAGCGGGAGGATTCCGAGTTCCAGGCCTCTCTGGTGGTAATCGTGAGTGCTCATCTTGACGTTGCAAAGCGAAATATCAGCCTCGAGAGTCATGGCAATGAAAGACTGCTTATCGGCTCGCTTGCCATTCATGATGGACACTTCCTGCTTCATTGCCCCCATCTGTTCAAGCCAGTCCTTCTCATTGGACTTTGGGCCGATCACGACGGCGAGGTCCAAGTAGTCCGGGTGCCCGTGGCGAAGGTATTCGAGGTCTGCGCGACGACGACAAATCTTCATGGACCGCATCTGGTCCGGCGCTTCTGTTGACCATCCACCTTCCGAGGAAAACGGATCCACTACGTCAACTCTCCATGCGATGTCGGAGATACGCTTGGTTGGTGCGGGCGGAGGTCGTGGCGGCAGTGGCACTCCGTGAAAGCCGTTGATGAGCTTCTCGAGGGAGTTGTTGTTGGCCATAGCTCCAGGGCTGCTTATGGTTTGTGGGTGTGAAATAAGAGTTATGAGTTGATGAGATAGGAAGTGGAGTGTAGGAGTCTTGGTTGTCTCGAGCCTAGTGAAGTATATTGTCTACTTGCGCGCGTACGGAGCGCTCTTCTACCTTAAACTTTGAGTAGGAGAAGCATTCAAGATTATGCTACTCCCGGCAATGCTAAATTGCTTATCGCCAGTGTAAACTAGGAGGCTCATAATACGCGGCAAGCCTTCTATTTGACTCGCCATGTGGCTTGACGCCTGCGTAAAGACAAGACTCGGACTCGCACAAGCCCTATTTAAACATCTGTTCGATGTCAGGTTCATATTAGTATGATATTCGCGTGACGGCCAAACGGGGGTCAAGCGAAGCTGAGACTCAGTGCGGGAAATATCAGTAGCATTCTCATCTGCCGCTCAGCCGGTGCTATCACATCATCTATCTAAGTCTACGAATGGGTGTTTGGATGTCGTGCACTTCGGGAATGATGGGTGTCGTGCAATTTGGGGAATGATAGTCGATGTCGACGACGAGCAAGCTGGTCAGAAGTGCAACTTGAGCTGATGGCATTCCCCCTCCACGAACCAGGCTTCGAGGCCCGAGAACATGCTGCGGTTTTCCCGGAACGTCAAACGACCAAGGTGTATGCCCAAGGGCACCGTTTGACTCTCTTTCACTGCATATACCAGAGCACCACTGTCGCCTGGGGCGGCGAACGGGGTGCATTCAGCGATCCAGCTAACGATGCCGGTCCACTTGTGCATGTCGTGCCGTTATAATTTCTCCAAGGAAATTCCGAGATCCTTGATCTTGAGCTTTTCGTCGGGGGTTTCTCTGACCTCCTGCTTCGCAAGCGAAAACTACGCATCTTCCATGCTGGAGTGTATGTTCGTAAAAATATCGAAGGTTTTGCCCGTCGTGGGACCCTCCTTGTACACGCGGATGCCTGATCTCTGCTGTATCAGGCTGTTTATTTGGAAGACACGCGTGGCCTCCCTCTCCATATCAAATTCTCGCGAATGCCCGTTGGCTCCGTAGTAGTGGAGATTTACCCGGGGTAAAGCGGCCTCGATCTTGTGCTTGTCGTCGTCCTGAACTTTGAGGATTCCCACTTCTCTGGCCATCTTGCTTAGCGGATCAGGATAGCGAACGCGCAGGTGGTCGGCCTTGATCTTCTCCAGGGTGAGCCGATGCTCAATCTCGAAGGTATATTCTGTGGTAAGTGCATACAGGCCTGCCCCGATATCATCCAGGCCCATACTTTCCCAATCCCAGGAGAGGTACCGTTGCGGTCGACGATGCGATCCCCAGTATTCAGTGCAAGGATCTGACGCCCGCTTGCCATGTTCGAGTGTGCAGTCTTGCGATCCACAACCATGGAGACGAGGTTGACCCAACCCAGCAGCAATGTTTGCGTCTCAACCGCTTGTCTGCTCCAAAACACACTTCAGCACGTCTCATGATCGTCTTTGTCGCTTTGTAGTCGTCAGGGTGTAGAAATTGGGGTTCGATATGCGGAGGTTCCGAAGCCACACAGTCCGGTTATTTTGGCCTCTAGCATGTGACGAAAGTGTTGACTTCAGCGTTCGCTTCAGCCGTGTCGCAGTACTGGTCGAGAACCGAGCGACGTGCCAATTTTCGCTTTGTCGGTAATGAAGACAGATTGCCGCACGAGCAGCACCCGTGCGTCGGCAGTACAACAAGTAGTTAAAAGGCCGTCTATCGACGGAAATTTTTTGGGCTGTTGTTGTCGCGCTCGCGAAATCGACTTGGGGAACTGACGATGTTAGAGGTGTCGCAATGTTGAGAATCCATGTGGTCGGTCGAGAGGTTATCTCACTGCTTGGTGCGTGTAGGGCCACTCCTCCGGTCAATGCCGCGACGAAAAGGTCCATCACAGCTTTCGAGCGAGTGTCAGCAGCTCCGTGACCGTGCTACGCATGATGGCCAATCGCAAACCACTCCGAGCTAGATCCGCGCCGTTGAGCAGCTTGAAGATCAGCATACGGCCCGCACCGCGTTTGCGGCCCCGCCCGGTCGAGGACAGTCATCCCAACAAGTCCACCAGTGAGGGCGAAGGTTGAGGAGCGCCGTGCAGATGTCTGTCGCAATAGGTTTTGCTTGGTTTCGTCCGGTTCCAACGCGAGTCGAGTAAACCGTTGTAGACGCGATGGCTCGATGTGGGAGACGAGTGGGGCAGAGAGGTGGCATGCTCTCTCCGGTCTTCCGAGCCTCACCCATTTCTGGCAGCTGCATCGTCGCTCACCACGTGTTCAGCCCAACACATGAATGTCACAAATGGACACGATAATGCAAGGAAGGATATGCGCAATGGATTTGGAAAAACTTGGGTCATTGCATGCTAGTCAACGAAGGGCGCATACGACACCTTCATTTGTGCGGACTGCGGCCAGGGCATCTTGAGAAGAAACTGGGAGAAGCTCGGTGCAATGTGTGCTGGTATTCATATTTACATAATATGAAGACTAAACCAAAAACGGTGCCATATAACACATTGCCGGGACCTCAATCTCCTACTCCAAGGCGTGAGCTGAAGAGGAGCTCACAATCGAGCGGCATTCATGCTTCTCACGATGAGCAGCAGGGCAACATCCGGAACAACTTGCGCGACCTCCTTCGTCCCCATCACCTCCGCCACTGGCTTTGTGGTCGTTGTCTTCTTGCGTCCGATGGCAGTCGCGCTACCACTGGCACCCGCGTTTCCAGGCAAGCTGTGGCGCCCGTGATCTTTAACTTCCTCTAGGATTGTGAGAGCTCGTCAATCTGATCTCGCGGAACGTAACTCTCAGCGGAATCCCTCTGCCTCTTTCGGGTTCGTGGTATTGATGTGTGGTTGCTGTTGGTGGCCTTTGACTTTGAGGTCGACTTGGGTGTTGCCACGCTCCTGCGAGGCGTCTTTGGATTTGCCGTGGCTTGGGTGGTGTGAGAACGGACAGAAACCGATCCGCGAATAGCGAGTGCTGACATGCGTCTAGCCTCTTTCAATTCGTGACTCGCCTTCTCTATAGCGCGAGCCTTTTGCCAAAGGGGAAGTGCATCCTTGATAGCTTGGAGCCGATCTGCAAGCGCCCAGTCCAGGTGGCTCCTCAGGATCGCTTGGGCCTTCGCGATCTGCTGCTCCATAGACAAACTGCACGAGTACAGTTCTTTCATAAAGTATTTTTCATTGTCACCCCCTTCGCTCCAATGTAGCCAGAGCTGTAGCAGCATCACATCGCATGTAACGGACATGTGCATCGTGTAGGCCGAAGTCGCAGGTGTGGTATCGCCGTACGCGGACTCGAAGTATTGCCGATGGTAATTTACGATCGTCGCGCCGTGGAGAGCAGACTTCTTCATGGCGTTAAGGATGGAATGTCCGTCTGCTGCTTCCCACTCGGCAGTGAGGAACGGGAAGGATAGTTCGGGGTTCAGCTTGAAACTAGCAATCTAACGTCAGCATGGGAATCTGGCGAGTGATCGTCAACTCACTTCTCCAGGAGCTCGTGATCCTCTTCCGTCAACCCTGAGTCTACACGGGTCTCGGTATCGCGGCGATTCAAGTACCCAATGGCGAGATCCGGTTTATATCTCAAGGCTTCCGAATCGGAACTTGGTAGGATTGGGACAAAGTCTGTCGTCAGGGTATAGTCGTGGCTGATATCGATGTTGGGTATGCCACGTGCGTAGCCGGTTCGCTCTCCCTGAAAGAGCAGCAGCGGTTCCATCATGTTAACAGCACTCTTCTTGTCCATAGAGCGGGCCTCCCGATGCTGATAGACGATCTCTTGTGCAGCATGAGCTTGTTCAGGCATGACCGGCGCGTTCAGCATTTGCTCCACACGCTCACTCAGCTCTTGTGGGAACGCCTTGTCGGCACAGTCGACGATCAGGTTGTGTTCGACTAGCTCGTTGATTGTGTGCCTGAACCTTTGGGAGGACGGGGTGGTTGGGGGTGCCATGTTGAACGAGGACGGATAGATCAGTAGGGCGAGTGAAAAGATCGATGACTGGCTGGCGCTTGTCTAGCAGTCACGTCGATCATTCTGAGCTCAAGGTTGCAAAATGCAATTTGTTTGCGCGATCGCGAGAGATATGAGCGATACATGGCGCTAATCCCATGATGGACGATGTCTGCAGCTTTCCGCAAGGCGCCTTGTCGTTCTCGCAAGCCTGACCGGATCTTCTGGTATGAATGGACGAAGGAGCAAGTGTGCCTGTGGTTATATCGTAGCAAGCGATCATGGACGATAGTGATTTGAGATGCGAGAGTGGTGGCTAGGAATGGAGTTGTGGGGTGGAGGAGGACGCGCTGCGCGCCAACCCTGGGAGCCCCCGGCACACGCCAAGCGAGCTAGTGCGCGTCACCTGTACACTACCACACCACTCGAGATGAACGACATTGACCCGGGCAAGATTGTACAGCACGCACCACCAACATATGTGTGGACACTTACGCCGGAATGTGGACAGTGAGCGCAGTGCATCGCCGAGGCAAGTCACCATTGCGCCTTCCAACAGGCGCCAGATAGCTGGTTGACATGCAGGCATCGATCGAGCCGGGCACGACCTCAGAGCTCGACTATTCTCGCTTCGAACCAGCACCTCAACCTAGGGAAAACCTGGACAGGTCTGGAGCCTACATCGATGTTAGGCCACCTAGTTTGCAGGTTTTCTTCTTAATGTAGCCTCTAGGGTGTTCAGTTTTTCCCTTGTATGAGGTGCCAGCTCTCTCAGCGTCAAATCCGCGTCGCTTGCCACTTCACAGACTTACGGGCACTCGACATGCCTTCGCGAACCCTCCGCTGTCAACAATCTTTATCTATCAAGAATTCCACTCACGACACTGGCGCCACGAATACCTTTGGCATCCACTTCATTGCGTTACAGACTAGTTGGAGGTTCGCGAGGGATGGAACGAAGATCGCATGTGCCGTGCATGGGCGCTCCAGCTGTTCATTGGCGAAACGCGTAGTCACGTGCATGGCGGACCTGAGCTCGCTTAACCCCTGGCGATGACGGCACGCGCCCTGACTAGCAAAGCTCCGAACCAACCAACACGAGAATCGTTCCACACCAGCAAAGTAGCGCCGGCGCCAGCCCTATCGCATTATGGCGACCCTGCCTGGTATAACCGCCCTTGCACGTAGCCCGCTACCCCTCCCGTCATCTACGAGCCCTTCCGCATTTCTTGTCTTCATTGTTGGCGCGCAATCGTGTTTGCTAACATACACCAGCTTCGGGCAAGCCACGCCGCTCCACACGCAGATCCACACGCTTCGACTACGCCGAACCGTCGCCAGAATCGGAAGACGAAGAACACCTTGCCGAGTGCGTCCTTCAAGAGGAGCGTCGGGAAGATGGCGTACTGTGGTACGAGGTCAAATGGGCTGGCACCGATCCGAAGACTGGTCTGCGCCACGAGCCCAGCTGGATCCCGGCCGATGGAGCAAATAAGGCGTTGAAGAAGGACTGGGAGAGACTGAAGAGACTCCGTAGGGCCCGAGATGCTCCCGCTGCTCGTACTGCCCGTCAGGTTGGAGCTCCCCGTCAAGCTCAAGCTGAGCGTTCCGCCGGGGCTGCCCGTCAGGCTGAAGCCGAGCGTCTAGCTGAAGCTACTCATCAAGCTAAAGCTGAGCGCACCGCCGAGGCTGGTCATATCGTTGAAGGCGTTCGGGTGGATGAAGCTGCTCGGGAAGCCCCAGATGGTCGCGTCCCCCATACTGCCACCGCTCCCTCCGCCGGCGGGGCTGCTCCTTCGGCCGCAACACTCGAAGCCTCTGATGACGACGAATTCACACTTGCGCGCGAGTATCAACCAATAACTCCCCGGCGTGAAGAGCGCGCGATGCGCCTTCTACATCAACCTTACGAGTCCTTGCGTCGTACTCGCCAACCCTCCTGCGATCGACCTCTTCCTTCAACCGAACAACCCTACACACTCAGTGCTAGGCAGACGACGGCACCCATCTTCACACCTACGCCGCGCTCCGCTGTCTACCGTTATCAGCCCTACCCATCCAGCAGACCACCTAGCTCACCACCTATACGACGGCCTGAGTCATTACATCGGCTAATGGCGGAGGTAATGGCGGAGTCGGCGCGAAACGCTGCAAACACGGAATTGGACCGTCAATGCTTCATATGTTTCGATAGCGTCGAGACTTTTGAAGCGGATGGTATTCACTACCAGAGGCTACGTTGCTGCGGTATGTATCCCATTCGTCTACTCACCAACACCTTGACTGACTGTACCAGGGAAGCTCAGCTGCCACAACTGCTTACGGAGTTGGCTTGAGCGCGCAGACAAACCGGACGTGTGTGCGCACTGCCGACAGCCTCTCG